CTTGTTTTTTTTTTTTTGTAATATAGAGTTCATTAAGTTATAACTTACGTTCTTCATTTTGGTCATTCACTGGGATGCCATATGCTTTCAAAATACATAAATATATATATAAAATACTATAATTTATTCTATTCTATCATGCAATAAAAGATTTAATTAGAGCAATATTTATTTAGAAAACCACATTTCATTATCTAAAATCATATTAGTACGTATAAAATTTGTTCGTAAAAGATAAATTCAATATTTTAATTATAATAAATATAAATATGGTTTATAATATAATAATATGAAATTATTGATTCAGTTATAACAAAATTATACTTATCTAATATTAGCTATTAAGAAACAAAGTATAATTATTTTAAAATTGTTACTTAAATATTACAATAACTGAAACCGTATATCTATTGCTACAAAAAGAACAATACTTTTTTACCTCAAAAAAAAAAAAATGTTTCTTTGTCTATTTTGATTTTTATTAAAAATATTTATTACCAGCAAAAAACACCAAACACAAACACAACAAGACTGGATATTTCTGTAAAATAATGAAAGCATAATTACAACTACGACGACTTATTATAACATTATAATGTACAAACCATTTTTCTTTTTTTTGATTCTATACTTCCACAATTTTCTACGTACAAATATCGTAACAAAAATCATTGTCTTTAAAAAAGCTTACTATTAAATAAAATTAAGTGTGTAAACGATACAAATAGAATTATTTATTCAATATTTAAGTAAACAGAGTAAATATTCAGCTATGACATATGAAATTTCGTTTCATATATTAGTTTTTCTTTTCAGAAGTTAATAATATCCTACGTTCTATAATTTTTAGAAAAAATATTTTCTGTACTCCGTATTCCTTAAAATTTTATAAAATTGAAATAGAATTGTTATATGCTTAATCAGATGATAAATTAGAATAATTACATTATTAATTGATATCTAAAAAAATCATTGGAAGATATATCGTAGTACGGTGGACAGGTAGATTTAATTAATGGAAAAGATAATTTTTACAAAAATTAACTTTTTCAACTTAATTTTAGAAAATGTTCCGGAAATACTGCGTCCTTCAAACATATATCAAATTAAAGCTTATTTTATGTTCTATAAAAATTTTTTAATTCTATTTGTGTGTGCTACTATTTTATTCCAATATATTTATGCTACTATTAATATTCCAAATTTTTATGTAATATGTTGCTATATAAATCATAAATTAAAAAAAAAAAATGATTTTTAGTTTCACCTGAATTTTACGATGGATTTTTACAATTATAGTCAAATTTTATAATACGCTCAATTGAGAAAATCTAAATTGGTTTATTTAGTTAATGTAAATCATTAAAATTAATTAAGTTTTAAATATTTCCATTGCTGAAATTTTCTAAACACCAATAGTTATTAGGAAATGATTACTATTATTTCTATATCAGTTATCTATTACGATAACAATTCAAAAAAATCGAATTTTTCTGAAAAATGTACTGCAAATAGTAATTACAAAATTTCCTGATTGCATATTAATCTTAACAATTTCATTTTTTTCTATTTAATAATATCAATTTCAAATTTGTCAGTTGAGCTAAAAGTTATGGTAATAAATTCATTTTTTTTTTTTTTATTATAAACATTCACTTTAAAGGACGAAATAAAGAAGGTTAAAAATTATTACTTTTAACATATTAAAAATCAATATCAGTAATAATTTGAAAACAATTCAATATAAAAATTATATAATATATAATTAAAAGAATTATTAATCTGGGTATAATTAAGGAAATTGAAGTTGATGATGCATTTAATTATCCTTCATTTTTTTAGTATTAAAAACTATCTACAGATTTGCATCGAAGCGTTAATTATGATAGTGATTTTAATCACTGTCAGATATCATCTATACTGGACCCAACTATGCCACGACCCTACTGTGCTGGGTTTATTTTATATTATATTTAACTTTATAATGCTATAACTTATTGGAAAGTGTATGGATCCACACAATATTTTTATGAGAAATAATATTTTTTAATAAACCCCTTTTCATTTGACATACTATATCTTAATCGAGATATTAATAAGGAACCAGCAGATCATGTCGCTTTTGGAATAAAACACCAATTTTTTTAAAATTAAACACTATCTAAAGATTTGTATCGAAGCGTTTATTTTTGATAGTGATTTTAATCACTGTCAGACATCATTATACTTCATCCAACTATACCATGGCACCACTGTGCTGCTACACCCCTGTGCTGGTTTTTTTTGGATATTTCCCCCATTTGTGGGGAACGAGGGAAAATTTTTCAATTTTTGAGGGTAATTTCTTCGACTAGATACGATTTGTGATCTTTTGATGTATTTTTGAAAGAAATCGGTCCAGTGAAAGCTGAGAAAAAGTGGCAACAGACATAAAAAAAAAAAAAAACACATCATAGTAAAATTAATACCTTCTCAGCTTCGCATCGAAGCTAAAAT